TTTGGGGCAATTGTCCCTTTTTACTCAGAAAATGTCTGACTTCCTGTCAGCAGCTGCACCCCTGACAGCCTGCGAGCCTCTCTGAAGAATAAAAAAGAGAAGTAAAGCAGTCAGTCGTGGGAGGAGGAAGTGCAGCCGAGTTCAGGATGGCTCCTCCGTCTGGCTGCCCTCCACACTCAGGGAGGGAGTCTTCATCCGAGCTGTTGAAGTGCGTCTCACCCGCTGCTCCGAGGATGTTCGGCACAACAATTAGAGGCAGGCAGAAAAAGGTGAACTCTGTTGGGGAAGATGAGGGAAACGGATGGCAGGAAAGAGGTGCGGACTGAGTGGCAGCGTGGGATATTGGTTGAGATAGGGAGAGGCAGCGACTGAGGCGTTTAGCGCAGACTCTGGAGGGCGGGAGAGACGAGGTTCAAAGAGTGACTGACAGCATGATAGATGGAGGCTCTGAATAAGTGAGCGAGGCTCGGAGACGCCGCTCGAGTGCTAATGATTGACTGAATGCGTACAGGTGGCAGTGAGCTGAGACCAGGAGCTGCGTGCTGTTCTCCTGTCCGTTTATTATGGCTGACCATTTGCTCCAGATATTGTACACACAAAATCATCCCTGTTGTACACACACACGTCCCATCAGACACACACAGCCTCTCAGCCAGGCATCGCCTGCAGCCACACTCTCCTTCCCACCACTGCCTCCCCTCATTCATCTTTCATTAGCCTGGCTCACACAGGAGAAACAGCCCCCCCACCCCACCACCCCCTCCCTCTCGTCCTCCCTATCTAACCTCCTCGCCTTTTTCCTCCTCCTGTCTTATCTTGGCGTCTCTCGTACGTAATCTGTTTTTGTTTGTCTCACTCATGTCTTGCTTTGCAGACGGTTATTTTGGATACCTCTCCCCCTCATCCTCTCCGTTCTTGTCTTTTTATCATCAGCCTCACTCCTTCACCTTGTTGCCCTCCTCCTCCTCCTCCTCCTCCTCCTCCTCCTCCTCCGTTGCTTTCGGCCTTCATTCCCCTTCACAGCCCCTGCTCCTCCTCATTTTCACCTTTTTATCACGCTCTCCTCTCTTTTCCTTCCTTTTTCTGTGCCGCGCTGTTTTCTCTGACACTCGTCTCCCCCCCACATCCCCTCCACCTCCTCCTCTCCCCTCCCTGCTCTCTTTCTTCCTTTCATTCTGCTCTCCGTCTCTCCCTCGATGGAGGGGAAAAGGCTCTTCGCCTCTAATTGCGGCTGTTCCGTTGCCATGGCGCGTGTTGCTCGGCGCTGCGAGGTGCTGTCTGAGTGTGTGTGCGTGCGTGCGTGTGTGTGTGTGCGTGGCAGGCAGATGATTGCTTGCTGCCAGCTCTCGTTTCCCGGACGCTGATCGTGTTTCTTTGCGGCGGCAGGGAAGAAGAAAGGAGAGAGACGCCAGAAATAGCCCCCTTCACAGAGACTCAGTCACTCTCACCGCTGCGCTGACAGAAGCACGCGCACGCACACATGCACAGCGTTTCCTGCCTTTCTGACATCCTGAGTGCATGTGGCTGAGGTTATGCTGCATGCACACACCTTTTGGCACACACACACACACACACACACACACACACACAGAGGCAGTAATGTGTGTTTATTTATATCTACACGCGTCTGACTTCCTCCGTGATTGGGGGCGTGTGTGCGTGCGCGCTTCCTGCGTCTCTCAGGAGGTTGTGTGGGGACTCCTGATTTATTTCACCTTTAATGGGAAGTGAAATGAATGTGAGCAGCAGCTGGTCTGCTCCTCGGAGATACGGCGCCACGCTAACCCAGAAAACAAGCGGCGTTGCTCTGAAACGCTTCTTTACTCCGACAAGCGCCGAGGCACGCTGCTCTCAGCTTCATTTGCTGCGCTGTTGGTTTTATTTAAAGCTGCGTGTAGACATTTAGTTAACACCTTTAGGCAGAATGACGCAGGGTGGGTGCTCTTTAACAGGTCCAGCCTCTGGCCAACCCAACTTTTGTTGTTGTTTTCCCTCCTCTCCCTCTGTTGCAACTTTTCAGAGGTTTGTTAGAAGGTAAATGGAGACAGATTAATAGCAAATAAACCTTGAAACCTCACGCTGCAAAAGAGGATAAGGGAGGATTATAACCAGATTTGTGGAGGAATCTCTCTAATCATCAGCTGTGCTGTTCTCCTACAGTTGTCAGAAGGTTTTAAGGGAGGGGGAACGGCTTACTTGAGCATAGCTTAGTTTTACAACTAAAAGTTAAAGAGCCTTTTGCACTTGTAATTTTAAGGAGGGGGCAATAAGTTTGGGTGGGTTTTTTTCTGCTTGTCGTCATATTTATAGATGAATTGCATCCATGCATTGTTGGATTGTAAGAACCTTTTTGTAGTTCTTATAACCATTAGATGTAGTTCTTCTTGTGTTTTTACATAGAAATTGTGGATTGTGTTTGGAGTGATGCATTTACCTCCAAAGTCAGATATGGGAGAGGCAGCAGGCCCAGTTGCAAGTCTGAACACCAGTAGGGTTTTTTAATAGTTGTGCTCAGTAGCCAGTCGTAACTACCATGAGCAATGCAACTGCTAACAATAGTACAATACAACAGTAATCGCTTAATACTGGAGCTCATTTTTTGTTTAGCAAATTAGCGTTATTGCTAAAGTTTGAAACCGTTAGCAGAATAAGTTTCTGCTAAATTTGGTTTTGCCAACAAAATTTGCAAGCTTCTTCCTGTTTATTGTGGGTGTGTCTTGTAGAGTCCATTAGGCCCAGTTTTGGCTTATACATACGTGTACACGTGACAAAACGTGATTGGTCGACACAGCTGCAGCAAGCTGAAGGCACGCTATTGGTTTACTACGTGTACGCATGACAATTGTCTTAGCAGTTAGCAGGTTTAGTGTTAGCTTCTGTAATTTTTTTTATTTTTTGCAGTTTAACATTAGCAAAATTAATTTTTTTAGTTAGCGGAATATGAGTTAGCGAAGCTAACTTTTTGGTTAGCTGTGCCCACCACTGGTATTCCAGTTTAACACCGTAGATCTAAAGAACCTAAATGTCACTTAAACCTAAATGTGCAGTGTCTGGTTGACAATAAAAAGATACACCTGAATTATGCTAGCTTCAAAAGAAAACATTGGTAAAGAGTCTTAGAAACAACAGCTTTGTGCGCAGCATCTTTGAATTCTGCAAGCAGTTTCTTGGAACTCATAGCTAAGATAAATTTTTTTGCTTTTAATTAAATAATTTTGTAAACAATTTTTTTTTATTTATCAAAGTTCATGATCAATAATCCAGGTGAAAAATCCAACAAAGTTAAATCAGGTCATCTGGAAGCTTTCTTTTCTTTTCTCCTTTTTTTTTTTTGACGTTATGTCCTTCATCCAAAGGACTTCGTCAGTCCGAGGGGCCACAAACAATCTCAGTCCCACATGCAGCACATTCACATAGCGGCCCAACCAGTTTGCTGGTGTCAGCTGTAGAAGATATGAGATGGTTTGCAAACAGACAAACTATTTCATGGAGTATAAACTCTTAATGAAACTCCTGGAAAACACTCATTTGATGTACATATGTGATGATGTCATCTCAAATCAAGATGGCCACCACAGCCAACTGACCTTAGAAAATGTAAAAATGACTATAACAATCAATTTTACAAATATTGAGCTATGATTGATTGAAGTAGCTGTGAATCATCTCCAACACAAAGCTCTTACATATTTCACAAGATCTTTGCTTAAAATGTTTACATTTATTGTTGAAGTCAACCCTGTTTATATTTTGGGCCTTTATCGTCAAATTCAAAATCTTTTTGAAATATTAAGTGAAAATTAGTGGTAATAAAAGTGAATTTAAATGACTGTCCCTGTTCAGGTTGACGTCAACACTTTTATAAGATCAATCATATAAAGAGCTGCTATTACCGAAGGTTCGACTAATAATAATAATAATAATAATAATAAATAGAGATCTTATCTTTTGACTCTCAGTCAGTAGAAATGAGCGACTGTAAAATCTCACGTAAAGCCTTACTACAAGACAACAGTGATACTTTCAGACATATTTTTGGATTTGTGTCCATACAACTTGAGCATAACTTTCCTGACCCCAGATGTCAACAGCTGTGGCTGCTCAGCTCATGCTGGATGACCAACCCATGAACACAACGCTGCAGAAAATGCCGCGTGCAGTTTGATTCTCTCGCTAATAGATCAATAAAGACATTAGTGGCAGGCAAACCCGGAGAGCAGCGCTAATACAGGGTTAATCCAGGGTTAATGGGCGAGCAGTGTCGTTCACACAGACGGCCATTACTTCTCTGCCACATCACACAATATCAGTGCCTTCCCTGGTCATGCCCCAGGTTCCCAAAATTGAAAAGAAGAGGAATCGAGGATCAGCCTCATGAGTGAAGATAAAAATGAGATGTCCAGATAGATCAAGCTGGCCGCAAAGAGCTGGGAGATGTGTCAGCGGGAGGCAGGGTAACGTGGAAGAAATTTGCACATAGAAATAATAGAAGATGGGAAATTGAAATTGTGGTCAGGAGAGGCTGCAAGCCGAGCTGAGAGAAAGTGGTGAGGAGAGGAAGCGAGTTGAGCGCTCTACACGTCTCCCTGTCCTTGTAAAGTGCTGCGTGCTGTCGAAGCAGCAGCCAAGAATGTGTCAGCCCAGCCGTCTCACGCTGCCTAATGGGCTCTTAAACGCTGATATAAAGCTCGCTCGCTCTTTCACCCTCCCCTTTTCCTCTCTTGCTCCTTCTTTTTCTGCCTCCGCCACTTGCTCTCATTACCTCTCGTTCTCACCCTGTCCCTCACTCTGTCACTCACTTGTCCTCTGCCTCTCTTTCACTCGCCTTCTGTTGCTTTATCAACCTCTAGCTGTCTTTTTTTTCCTGCTGTCTTTCTTCTCTCTCTGACTTCTTCGATTACTTCGTCCTCACCCCCTAAGCCTCTCGTGCAGGTTGTTTCTTTATTTAAAACTTTACAACAGTAAAACTCAGCACTTCTCTGTCTTTCCTTCTCCTCCAGGCTCCATAACGCCTTCTACCCTTGGGACCCTTCGTTCCCCCTGACCCTTTTACACGTCCTGTCAGCACCTCTCCATGGATTGGCCAACGCTTTTGTTTTTGGTCTGGATAAAGAGTGGTGGAGCCTATTGAGCCCGACGGGCATGCAGGTACACAATGTGTTTCTTTGCTCCAAATATGTCCCAACAAAAATGTTCTCATTATTCAGTGCCTTGCCAAGTTTTGGACCCACTAATAAAATAAAAACTAGAGAAATTGTATTTCCTGCGAAAATGCAGTGTGAATACTTATTTCACAAGAACGTGATGAAAAACAGCTGAAATTAGCTAAAAACAAGAGTTTCTGAAATGTAGCTGAAATGAAAGAACAAGCCTAAATTAGCAGAAGAAACCAGAAAGAACATATATTTGCTGAATTAGGTTTAAATAAACAAAAATTAGCATAAAATTTTAGAAATTAGCTAAAAAAGCTTAAATTTGCTAAAATAATTGCTGAAAAGTAACTGAAAAGGCAAAAAGAAGATTAAACTATCAGAAGGAAGTGGAAAGAACTGGAATGAGCTAAAAAATGTGGAATTAGCTGAAAAAGTTCAAATTTGCATCAAAAGAGCTAAATAGTAGCTGAAAGAGCAGAAAAGGCTGAAAGGAGCATAACAAGCTGAAATTAGCATAAAGAAGTTAATTTGGCTGAAAGTAGCAGAAATTTACATGAAAAACTTGAATTTATCTGAAAACAGCCGAAATTAGCTAAAAAATGCTAAAAATGTAGCTGAAATGAAAGAACCAGTTTAAATTAGCAGAAGAAAGCAGAAAGAACACGATTGGCCAATTAGGCTGAACGAAGCAGAAATAAGCAGAAAAAGTGGCAATTATGTGAAAAAAGTTGAAATTAGGAAAAAACAGCTGAAAAGAAGCTAAAAAGACAGAAAGAAGCTTAAATTATGAGAGGGAAGTGGAAAAAGAACAATTTACCTGAATTAGGTTGAAAAAAGTTTGAGTGCAAAAATTCTAGAATAAGCTGAAAGTTAAAATTAGTATAAAAACAGCTGAATAGTAGCTGAAATAGCAGCAACGGCTGAAATTAGCAGAACGAAGTTAGAAGGACAAAAATGTTGTAGTTAGCAGAAAGAATCTGAAAGGAGCACAAAACAAATGAAATTAGCTGACAAAAGTTAAAAATTGCTCAAAGAAGTTGAAAGAAGTTGAAGCAGAACAAAAAAAGGTTGTAAACAGATTAAAAGAATTGAAGGATATAAAATGAGCTCAATTCATTTTCTATGAGGAAAAAGGTGACTGAAAAGGCTAAATATTTCAAAAAGCTAAAGTTGCACCAATACCAAAAATCCATTTCACCCTTCTCCTGAAAGAGCTGAACGTTTTGATTAATGATTTGTTGAAATAGCACAAAAATTGTGGAACAACAAAGATGCAGAAAAATGTACGGAAGAAAAATGGATCACTATAGTGTGAATGCTTCATCGACATTCACACAACAAGCAAAACACGTTTAATACAAATGCTTATGAATCATCACATAGTCTCCTTTGACTGAAGACCAACAAGCTGCTTTCTGTTAATATCAGTGTAATCAGAACTGGTTTATTGTGGTTGTAGTGAGTCACGTGAGATACGTGTCACTTGTTGTATGACAAATATATGGATATATATTTATGCATACTTTTCACGAGTTCTTCATCTTTCTGACTGTGTAATGCCGTGCATTGAATTTAAAGGAATGCGAACAAGAGACGTTATTACCTTTGACCCATCAAATGAATGGAATCATTTATTTTCAGAATCAAAGTTTAACATCAAACATTTACATTAATTTGGCAAAATATGAAAATAATAACAGACAGTTTCACAAATAATGAACTTCAAATCACTCGGCGGTGATTTGAGGACTTTGCTTCAGATATTTCTAAAAATATCTGCACTGATTTATGAGAGAGAGGTGAGTTTAAGAGTAAATTGAGATTTATCTTACAGAGGAAATATGTGAGGGAAATTTAATCTGTTTAACCAGAAATTGCACGCTCCGTCCGATCTCAGCTTCTCACGGTACACTTGGTCAAAATAGAACCATCTACCTGTTGATGATGAATCAGCGTCGGAGTAGTTCCTTTCTGACTCGTTTCAGCGTCTCCGTCGAGAACTACCAAACCTTCAGAGAGTCGTGCGTAGTTAGCTCAAAACAGAATTATAATCCCAAAAACCTCTGGATTCTTCATTGCTCTCTTGGACTCTTCATTGCTCTGAAACTTTCAGAACCGGCTGCACTCTCAATCTCAATCTCAAACTAACATGAACTGGGAAGTTGCCACATTTTATTTGGGTCGACTTCCTGTTCAATTTAGAGCTTTCTGATTCGTGGAAGGACCAGAAAGAGGAGTGGTTTTGACGTAAGGTGTTTATCAACGGTCGAGGTCAGAGAATGAAATTTGTTTTCACATACAGAAAAGATTATTGCAGCAACAGCAGACTTCGTGGAGTCAACTCTTGGTAATCTTCTGAAAAAGTTTAAACATGACATTTTTCTCGGTAAACATTTTAGTTGACCGAAAACCAACCTTTCACATACTTACGACTTGACTCATTTCAGACAGAAAATCAAGGAATGCTTATTCAGGTGATTTCTTCTTGGAATGAGGAATAAAAATCATTACTTACTGTTTATGTAAAATAAAGATGAGTAGTTCTTTTCAACCTATAAGCATTGAGTGAAACTAACACAATTTGATTATCAAAACATTTGTAAGACAGTAATGATTATAAAGAATTGTCTTTTCTGCTTGATTAATTCAAGAAAGAAAGTCATCAGATGGCCCAGACTTATTCAGATCAATGAACATAACAGTCTCTGTCCATCTGGTAGATTTGAGGTCATCTGGTTCACTACATGGTTCAACTTTGGAAAATTTACAATCGTCCTAAATACTTTTTGAAAGACTTTGTTGCTTCGTGTCCAAGTTTATGTCAGTTTTAATTGTTTTTTTAAGACAATGTTTATGTGTAAAATGCAAATCTGGGTAAACATGTATGCAAGGTGTTGTGGGCCACACTGTAGAAGAAGGCAATAATTAAAAAAAGATGTTCTTGAGTTAAATCTGTTTAAAATGTATCTTCAAGTGGTCACTTTCTGCAGACATTCTATTATTCCCAGATCTTCTGCCTCATGCTCCCTGAAAGTTCAGCTCCAGTTTCTTGCATCAGTGTCAAACTTCCACAGCGTGTTAACGAAGCGCTCTGATTGGAACCTGCTGACGATCATCTTTGCTCGTGAGAGCTTCGAAGTCAGTCAGCCGGCCTCATCAGGCGAGCCAGAGATCTTCAAGATTTAAAAAGTGCTTCACAACTGAAGGAAAACCATTATTATTATTTTCTGCCACATCAGATTGAGTTACGGTCAGATTCTTGACGTTTAATTCAATTATAATTTATTAAAATACCTCAAAGAAAACATTTAATATTCCAAGATTTCTCTGCACCCCTGACACTGACAAATTCCGTGTTTACCACTTTGCCAGATGTGGCCCCTGTTTTCTCTCCACGACAAGCTTGAATTGCTGTGAAATGTTCTAAGTTTAAGGTTGTGCAAGAGTTAGGAGACACATCTATTTGTCACCTAAACCATATTGTCACACTTTTGAGCTTGATGAGGTTTTACAAAGTGTTTCACCGCGTGTTTTCATTCACGCACTCATTTACAATGCTTCTGTTCAAGCAGTGCCTTTTCCCCTCGTTCTTACCGTCACTAGGCGCCGTTTGTTGTTGGCCCGAGGTCTTTTCAACATACGGAGCAGAAACAACACGGGTTGAGATCTTCTAAAGTATATTTCCATGTGGTCCAAATAGGTTTTCCTGGAAGGGTTTCATTAGTTGCATCACTTTATTACACAACAATGTGAATACTTAAAAGTCTAAATTTGAACAGGCATGATTTTTACCTTGTATTGGTGTAATGTGCCAATTATTCATTTTATATATGTTGCTTTACAAGCACCTGTTACTAATACAATATTTAATGGCTCATTTGCCTTATTGCATGTGCAACTATTACAACTTAATTGATTATGACTGCTGTTACCAGACTTTTTTCGCTGTTTGAGTATAGAAACGTGATTCAGTTGCTGGTTTACTATGCGTCATTTCTCCCTTTCAAGCTACTAACTTCAGTATCCCCTTCATGCTCTGTTTTATGTTGCTGACATTTTTTTGTGCGTTTGATTGATCACTTGCCTAAAGTTGCTGTAGTTTACTTTTTTTTTCTGACCTTGTGTATAAGATATACATGGGCATCCATTGTACTGGTTTTCTGATTTCTGTTCATTTCTGGGTGATTGTGGTTCCAGAGGAGAGGCGGGCATCTGGATGGGATGGTTGGTGGTTTGATCTTGGCTTTCCCCAACATATGTTGAAGTGTCCTTGGGCAACACAGTGAACTCCAGGTTGCCCCCGATTGGCAAATGTGTGGATGTGTAGTGCATAGATTCAAGGATTCAAGGTTCTTTATTGTCATTCTCTCCACATGTGATGCATGTGGTGGAACGAAAGTGTGTACACAGGGTTCCAGTTACATCCAATAATAGTATAAAATGTAAAAGAAAAACAATAATAATATATGAGATATTACGTAAGAAAAATATTAACTAAAAATACACTAAGCACTAGTAGCATAAAAACAATACGCTGAACAGCAGCACGAACATGAGTCTGTGTGAGCAGATGAGCACAAATTAACACAGCAACATGAAACAGATCAGCAGCAACATGAAACAGATCAGCAGCAACATGAAACAGATCAGCAGCAACATGAAACAGATCAGCAGAAACATGAAACAGATCAGCAGCAACATGAAACAGATCAGCAGCAACATGAAACAGATCAGTAGCAACATGAAACAGATCAGCAGCAACATGAAACAGATCAGCAGCAACATGAAACAGATCAGCTGCAACATGAAACAGATCAGCAGCAACATGATGTGATTTTTTTCACAGTCATTATTCTGGTTAGATATTTATGAGTCCAACAGCTTCAGGGTAGAAGCTGTTCCTCAGTCTTGTGGTTCTACACTTAATGCTCCTCAACCTCCTTCCTGAGGGGAGCGGGGCAAAAAGTGTGTGCTGGGTGAGTGGGATCCTTCATG